TGTGTCAGGTCAGTCACCTTGGCAAGGAAAGGGGCTTCGTCTGGAGCTCCCATCTTCTCTCCAGGGTATGTAGACGGCTGGAACAAGCTGGGACAGCTCCAGTGCCCCCCACGCATACACTACTCTGGGAAGCGCCCCTCCAGTGAGGATCCAGCCCCTCCCCTGAGGACTCTGCCATCTCAGCCCAGCTCGTGGGCAAGGTCACAGCCAGCCCTACCCCTGCCCCCAGGTCTCCAAGCTCACAGTCTTACCTGGGCTGGACACAAATGTCAGCAGATTATAGTTGCTTCTAGCATTTCCAGCTCCGTAATAAAGCATCTGTCGTAACGCCCTGCCACTCATCCCTGGACCTGACCTGGAGAGTGGGCTCCATTTCGGTGGCCAAGCTCTACTGGTCCCAGTGTGACCAGCAGCCGGCCTGAGGACCAGGATGTCCAGCTGCTGATGCTGCCTCCAAAATGGTCCCCACAAGGCTCAGACCCCCAGGACCACTTCCTCAGAGCCGCCCTCAGCCGGCTCCCGAAGTGTGGGAAGCAGACCCCTCACACTCTCAAGGTGCTTTCCCCGTGGTAACGTTACAGGTTAAATCACTGACGGCACAGGGAAAGGTTGTGCCCTCACGGTTCTTCTGCCATCCTTCGGGTCACAGAGAGAGGCTCTGTTTGGGGCAGGCTTTTCTTTTACAACCTGACACTTGCTAAACTCCCTTTTTGACATTTGGAGGGTGGGTCTTTGTATGTACTGTATTTGTGTAGTTATTTTATTTTTGGCTATGGGGGTTGATTTCTAATATGCAAGGGTGCTATTTAGTTTCTTTTATAAGCTCAAACATATACATTTTAAATGAGTCCATTCTTAGACAAACAGTAAGTAAATAACGGCACAGATCACAGGAAGTGCAGGGTGACAATAATGAGGGTGGAAACAAATCGCTGAGATTTGGCACCTGCTGCTCACAGCACAGGCTCCCCACTGGAGGCCTGAGGCCCCGGGAACAAATCCACAGACGATTCTGGATGTGATAACCAGAGAGTGAGGTCCAAGCGGCTCATGTGACGCTCCCTCTGCGCCTCCTGAGTGTGGGTGGGAGCGGGGAACCTCCGTGCAGCCTGCTTCCCCATCCACCAGGACAGCAGCGGAGCCTTGGGGACCCCCGGGCCCTCCAGTAGCCCTGATTCAGTGGGGGGACTAGTCGTGGCACAGAGCGGTTGCGGCAGGCGTGGACGGGAGCCCTTTCCCAGGGGCCTGAGGCCCAGGGTCATGCTCGGCACTTTGCGGACACTGGAGAACCTTTATGGACAGTTGTCACTAGGAGCCTGGCTGGAAGCTTTAGGTCGGTGTTTCTAAAAGTTTGGTCTTTGGATGTCCAACATCAGAATCTTTTCTTTAAAATACAGATTTTCCTGGAGACTCAAGGATCTCTGAAATGGGGCTGAGGGTCTGAACTTTTTTGTTTTTTTTTAATCCCCACCTGAGGATATTGTTTTCCGCTGCTTTTCAGAGAGAGAGAGAGAAACATCGGTGTGAGAGAGACACATCGATTGGCTGCCTCCCACACGCAGGATCGAGCCTGCAGCCGAGGTGTGTGCCCTTGGCTCGAATCAAAACCGGGACCCTTCAGTCCAAGGGCCGAAGCTCTAACCGCTGAGCAAAATCGGCCAGGGCAAGGGTCTGAACTTTTTAATCATGATATTTACCATCAACAAAATTTGAGAAACACTATAATGGAAAAAGAGACCAGTTATAAAGAAAGTCAGTCACTATCTGCCTATCTTCCTGTCATCTCTCTATCTCTCTAAGCTCCTCTCTCTCTCCCCTCTATTTCTCTCTATATACAAATCTTCCCCACATGGCTGGAAAAAATAGCCACTCAGGAAGTTTTCTACACCCCACCCCCCCAAACACACACCTTTAATAGGCCCAGAGACTAAACAAACACCTTCAATCACAAAGTCTGTGTTCAGGTGACAATGCTCTGAGAAAAAACACAAAATTCCCTCCGAAATCAAATCCCGTCTTTGCCCCCTCCCGTCCATCAGAATCACACTGCAGTGGGAACACAGCAGCTGACACGGGTTAGCACACCACCCCGACAACACCCAGAGTCCCATCCGTGCACAGTCCTATCCGTGTGACCTCGGACTCCCCAAAGGCCAAAAATCCCAGGGATCAGACACCCCGACGCTGCAGCGCCTCCTCACAGCACATCAGGGAGGGCCCACAGCATCGGGAGTGTGCGCCCACATTCTGGAAGGTGCAGTGCACCTAAGGAGGACTTCATCCAAAGCGCCCGGAGACGAGGAGCTGAGAGCCTAACTGTGAAGTGACCCAGGAAGCACTGGTGGGGAGAGGGGGACACAGGGCCAACGGGGCCAACACAGGGGCTCTAACACGCAGCTTAGCGCTGGGCCAAAGGAGGCCGAGGCCCGCCTGCTGGGAGTTTCTGAGGTTGAAGAGAACATGCCTCTAAGTTGTCCCCCCTGAGGGGAAGAAACTGAGCATTTAGCAGAGTTCCCTTCTGCCCCTGGATGCGGGCTGCTCCAAGGGTCCTTAGCTCCCTGCACTTCAGCCCTCCCTGCCCACAGGCCATGTGCAGGCGTGTGCCAGGCAGAGCCCTGGGGCAGAGTGTCACCCAGGCTGTGGGAAGAAGCCACTGAGGTTCCTCAAAACATTAAAATAGAACCACCCTATGATCCACCCTATGATCGCGCTCCTGGGTAACTTTGCAAAGGAAACGAAATCACTATCTGGGAGAGATACCTGACCCCCATGTTCACAGCAGCAGTATTCACAACAGCCAAGATGGAAACAACCCAAATGTCCATCAACAGATGTGTGTGGTACATACATATAACGGAATATTATTCCGTCTTTATTAAGGAAATCCTACCCTTTGTGACAACATGGAGGGACCTGGAAGCATTAATCTAAGAGAAATAAGACAGCCGCAGAATTCTTTCGAATGGCCTCTGCTATATGAGGCATCTAAAATAGCCAAACATAGAGGAGTAAACAGTAAATGGTGGTTACCAGGAGGTGGGGGAGGGGGCCTGGGAAACTGCTGTTCAGTGGATACAAAGTCGCAGTTACACACCGTGAGCTCCAGGGCTCTGCCCTACAACACAGTGCACAGAGTTAGCAAGGAGGTACCGTGCGCTTGCAACTCTATTAAGCAGGCAGATCTCATTGTTAAGTGTTCTTATCACACACATACGAAAAACACACAACACACTAAAAAACAAAGGGATACATTTTTGGAGATGGCGGATGTGTTTATTACCTTGATTATGTCCAAGCTCATCAAACTGTATACATTAATTATGTGCAGTTCTGCATACCAGTTATAGCTCACCAACGCTGGGGATGGCAGCCACTGGCACAGGGACTATAGTAAAGCCTGGCAGCTGGGGCACTGGCAGGTTCAGCCACAGGCAGAGAAGCCCCGCCTGTGCCTCTGCAACGTCTGCAGTGTGCACATTCCCATCACAGCCAACTTCAAGGTGTGGTGTGCCATTACTGAGCAGGGTTAGGGAGACATGAGCACAGTTGGTCTCACATGTTGATACATGACAACACGGCCCAGCCCTGGGAGAGCACACGGGCAGGGCACAGCAGCACCTCCCATAGGAACAGCCAAAGTGCTTTCCTACCTAGAATCTTACAATGTTATGTGACTTTCACACTTTTTGTGATGTGTCAACATTTCAATATCTTACCATTGAAAAATGGAATTACTCTCCAAAACTTTGAATCATTTCATACTATAGGAAGGAATGTCTTATTTTTTTTTGTCCCCAGAGTGAGGGTATTTTTTCCTATTGATTTTAGAGAGGGCAGAAGGAAGTGGGGAGGGGGAGAGAGAGTAACACCCAGGAGACAAAGACATCGATTGCTTGCCTCCCACAAGAACACCTCCCACCCCACCCCCCTCAAGCCTGAGACAGGGATCCGACCTGCAACCCAGGCACTTGCACCTTGACTGGTGCATAGGCCGANTATTTTTTCCTATTGATTTTAGAGAGGGCAGAAGGAAGTGGGGAGGGGGAGAGAGAGTAACACCCAGGAGACAAAGACATCAATTGCTTGCCTCCCACAAGAACACCCCCCACCCCACCTCCCTCAACCCTGAGACAGGGATCCGACCTGCAACCCAGGCACTTGCACCTTGACTGGTGCATAGGCCGATGCTCTAACCACTGAACCACGCCAGCCAGAGCTTATTTATTATTTTTATATCACCTCTTTCCCCACCCTCCACCTAAATCACACCAGCATGCCCCCATGGGATCAAGTGAAAATCCATTTCAGAAGACTTCATGAATCCACCTATTTGGTCACTTAACAGTAATGGATATTCTTGTTTTGTCTGACCAAGCTCATCCCTTCTGATAACAGCACCGTCCTTTAAGCAAGCATCCCTCACCCCATCCTGAGTGCTCAGGACCTGGCTCCTGGCTCCAGCAGTTAGCATATGACACAGGTCTGGCTGATCAGAACGTTCCATTCCCCTGAAGGAGGGACAAGGCCCCTCTGAGCTAATGACACTCTTTGTTTGAAATTATTGAAAAAGAAACCCTGTTCCCACTGGGTGACTGAGGAGACCTGGAGCCGCCGGAGGCAGTCCCCCACCATGAGGAAAGACCCCTGCTAGAATGAAGCCAGCACATAAAAATAAGAGCTGAGAAATGGAGGCTGAGTACAGATGGCACCATCTGAGTCTTGGATCCAGCTGTGCTGAAGACACTTCAGACCTTTACACGAACCCATCAAGTGTCCTTTTAACTGAAGTCCCTTTGATTTGGGATTTTAGTCACTTGCAACCAGAAGATTCTTGGCTGATTTGCAGATCTGAGGTCAAACGAGTTAGACTTTGGGCCACGCCCACCCAGATTTGTCTCCTTGGCCCTGACAGAGTTCAGTGTAGAAGAGTGCAGTTTATCGGAGCCCGTCCCTCCGTGGGGGCTGAGAATGAGCGCCAGGCAGGACTGGTCTTTTCAAGCTGGTCAGACGCACGAAGGTCACTTCAGGATCCGGATGCTCATCTTCTGCTCAATGTTCATCTTCTCCAGGGACTGGTGGAGATGGGTGATCATCAAGAGAACTGCAGTCCTCCACTCCAGTCTCCCAGCCTCCTCTCCCATCCCAGGGCCCCCCATTCCCAGGGAGCCCCTCTCTTTCCGCCCTCCCTCTGTCCCACGAGCCCATGCCTCGGGCTCCCCAGGCCCCAAGGGCACTCTGACCTTGGTGAACTCCAGGAAGGACACGGCCCCATCCCCGTCTTCATCGGCCTCCTGCACCGTGCGGTCAGCGATGCTCTCCAGCTGCTCCTCTGTCACCTGCACCCCGACCATCAGCCGGAGTACCTGGGAGGCAGAGGAAGAGGCGGCCATAGAGAGGAGGCACCGGGACTACCAGCACCGTCCCCCGGCCTCGTCCACATCCCCCCAAAAGTTATTAACAGTTTCATAACCCACGCCTCATCCTTTGTTCGCGGCATTGCAACTGCTGCCCACCACACCCACCAGTGTCCCCACTGCTTCTCCACCAAACCCTCACCATCCCACACTCGCCTCCGCGTGCCCGGCTCAGTCCTCAAGTCGCTGGCTCTCAGAACCCAGCCCCCCTCCACCCGCCACCCCACTCCCCGCCTCACCCTCTAACCATCCCCAAATCCCTGGAGTTTTCCAGTCTCAGCACCATTGACATTTGGGGCCAGGTACCTCCTGGTGGCGGTGGGGAGGGGGCCTGTCCCTTGTGTTGGAAATGTTTAGCTGCATTCCTGACCTCCACCCACCAGGTGCACTTGCACCACTCCCCTCCCGGGTAGTGACAACCAAAAATGTCTCTAGATGTTGGCAATGTCACCCAGGGGCAAAACCACTCCCAGCTGAGAGCCACCGATCTAGTCCCAACCTCATGCCCGACTGACCCCATCTCCCGGCTCACCCACACTCCAGCCCTCCCATTCCCACTGCCCCACCAACACTCCAGCCACCTGGTCCCCAAACTACCAGTTATCCCCCCACTCCCACAACCATTCCATTCAGCACCCGGGGGCGGCTCGCGGGGTCCTTCCAACCTGCAGCATCTCGTTCCTGGAGATCTTTCCGTCTCGATCCAGGTCGTAGAGCTGAAAGGCGACTGGGGGAAGGCAGGGGGACGGAGGGTGGGTTTTCGGGGCCTCGCGAGCAGGTGGCCCGGGTGGGCCGGGAGGTCTCCCAGGGG